TTTTCCCGAAATCCTATCGACGCCCACTACCTCCAGCTGCTCCAGCTCCAGCTCGCCCGTCTACATAAACATGCAGGACCCCGTTGCCAGAACAGCTTCTCCCTATCCTGACCCAACCAACAAAGGCCCCAAATCCCAAGCCCAAGCCTCTCTCCAGTCAGATCTTCGCAAAAGTGAGTCTCACTCTCTCCTCCCTCTCTCTTTCTGTCTACTCCTGTCCTTAGCCCTCCCCCGCCGGCTTCATAGCTAACCAGACATCAAGTGGTTTACTCAAACGTCAACAAGACTCCCCTTCACCCCGGCGGTGTTGCTCCCCACCAGGAGCACACTGAACTCGAGGAGGAGCTTCACGAGACTGCCCACATCGACTATGACCGCGTCGCCATTGTTCCCAATGCCTCTGTTCCTGCTCTCTACGAAGATGCCCTCGTGTACGAGACTGGTTCCGCCATCACATCCAGCGGTGCTTTGACTGCCTACTCCGGCAAGAAGACCGGCCGCTCACCACTCGACAAGCGTATCGTTGAGGAGCCTTCCTCCAAAGACGATATTTGGTACGTTCATCTTAGCCCGTTGGGGCACCAAACAATCATAAATCATACTTCGGTCATGTTGGCTAACACGAAATGTTCAGGTGGGGACCCGTCAACAAGCCTATGACGCCCGAGGTAAGAAAAGACAAGGGACGACAAAAAGACGCCGTGACTTCGAGTCATGGGCAGTCTTTGGTTTAGCCCGATTTTCCTCAGCCCCTCTAGACCCCCCCCCCCCCCCCCCAAACCCAAAATGTCCCGGAGACCCGGGCCCTTGAAGCCCTGAGTCCGGGGAAAGGGAAAGTAAGCTTGGCAGGTTCCGATGCCTCTGCCCCGCCATCGGGAATTCCTGAATGGAAGGTCTGCGGAGCAAAAAAGCGAGGAAGGGTCGGGAAAGCGACCCAGGCCTTGGTTGCAGGGGACTGACGCTGGGCATTACGCACACGCGAATTCGCAGGCAGCATTTTGGTGGCTCAACGTCATGGTCCATGATCATCACGGCACCATGACACTTCCCTCATCAAATCACTCCGTCACCTCCGTTCGTCCGCTGGCTCCGCGATCAAGATCTGGAAGTTCTAGATGACGATTGCGGGTGGCCGCGGGGTCCCAAAGTCTTGGGGATGCGACTGCGTGTCGTCATTTCCATTGATCTCCTCCATGATTTGTTTTCCCCAAAGACGCGGATCCCGATGGGTTACTCCTTGGGTTCTTGGCGCTCGCTCCGTCCCCGCACATGCAGCCGAAGCGAACGCCCAGGAACTCAGTGGGGGCCCGCGGCTGCGCACTGCCAATGCATCTTGCCCCGCAAATGCCCGCTCCCCCCCCCCCCCCGCATCTCGCCTGTCCCGACTGTACCCGTCCTCCCGATTCCTGAACTCATCAAACTGACTGGTCATTTCACTATAGGTCTGGAAGATCAACCGCGAACGTGCTGTCGACTACCTGAACACGAGGAATCGCATCTACGTCGTCGATGGCTTCGCCGGCTGGGATGAGAAGTACCGCATCCGCGTCCGTGTCATCTGTGCCCGTGCCTACCATGCCCTCTTCATGAGGAACATGCTCATCCGCCCCTCGCGTGAGGAGCTTGCCAACTTCCACCCCGACTACACCATCTACAACGCCGGCTCTTTCCCTGCCAACAGGTACACCGAGGGTATGACCTCGGCCACTTCGGTTGCCATCAACTTCGCCGAGAAGGAGATGGTCATCCTCGGTACTGAGTACGCCGGTGAGATGAAGAAGGGTGTCTTCACCGTCCTCTTCTACGAGATGCCCGTCAAGCACAACGTCCTGACCCTGCACTCTTCGGCCAACGAGGGCAAGAACGGCGATGTCACCCTCTTCTTCGGTCTGTCCGGCACCGGCAAGACCACCCTGTCTGCCGACCCTCAGCGTGCCCTGATCGGTGACGACGAGCACTGCTGGAGCGACCGTGGCGTCTTCAACATTGAGGGCGGCTGCTACGCCAAGACGATCGGCCTGTCCGCCGAGAAGGAACCCGATATCTTCGGCGCCATCCGCTTCGGCTCCGTCCTCGAGAACGTCGTGTTCGACCCCGAGACCCGTGCTGTCGACTACGACGACTCCACCCTGACCGAGAACACGCGTTGCGCCTACCCCATCGAGTACATCAGCAACGCCAAGATCCCCTGCATCTCCGACTCGCACCCCACCAACATTATCCTCCTGACGTGCGACGCCCGCGGTGTCCTGCCTCCCATCTCCAAGCTCGACCGTTCGCAGACCATGTTCCACTTCATCTCTGGCTACACCTCCAAGATGGCCGGTACCGAGGACGGCGTCACCGAGCCCCAGGCCACCTTCTCCTCGTGCTTCGCCCAGCCCTTCCTTGCGCTGCACCCCATGCGCTACGCCAAGATGCTTGCCGACAAAATCGAGACCCACAAGGCCAACGCCTGGCTCCTCAACACCGGCTGGGTCGGTGCCGGTGCCACCCAGGGCGGCAAGCGTTGCCCTCTCAAGTACACTCGTGCCATTCTCGACGCCATCCACTCTGGCGAGCTCGCCAACGTCGAGTACGAGAACTACGAGGTCTTCAACCTGCAGGTCCCCAAGACGTGCCCCAACGTCCCCTCGGAGCTGCTCAACCCCAGCAACGCCTGGACCGCCGGCGCCGACAGCTTCAGCACCGAGGTCAAGAAGCTCGGCGGCCTGTTCGTGGAGAACTTCAAGAAGTACGAGAGCGAGGCGACCGAGGATGTCATCAAGGCCGGTCCCGTCATTTGAGGGTGGTGTGATTAGCATGTTCATCAGCGCATCTTTTTTCTCTCCTGTTTAATCTTCTGTTCACCACCAGATATCACGGTTTTTCTTTTACTCTTTTCTATACTTTAGGGATTAGGATCATCTGAGACGCACTAGTGCGGTACGTGCCGCCGTGGCCGATAGACGCGGTCTGGCTTGCGCTGCACCACTGGAAGCCACACGCGGCTGCGAAGGCGATATGCCATTTAAAATTGATGAGGCTATGGGGCAATAGGATTATGAAAATAAAAAAAGTTAAAAACACAATGTCTTGCTTGGAAAGTGATATGCTTGCTTTCTTCTTTCTAGCTACGTTTTGATACGCTGAGCTACGTTTCGCTACGTTGAGCCACGCTGAGCTACGTGTAAATTCCATGACTTCTAAATAGACAACAAGACAAGATTATTCCCTACCCGGCGCGTCCTTCTTCGTGGCCACAATCCAGTGCAGGTAGCCCACAGGCCAGAGATGCATCTCGCTCCCGCTCCTGACCTCCCAGGCCCCGCAGTCGGCGCCGCACGTGCGCATCAGGGCCTCGACCTCGTCGGGGGTCCGCGTCCGGACGGAGCTGACGAGGCCGTCAAAGACGAGCACAAAGGGCAGCACGGGGACGACCCAGCAGAAGAAGAGGACGGCCCAGGAGCGCAGGCGCCAGGCGTGGTAGGGGGCGCCGAGCAGGACGCCGAGGCCGAGGAGGCAGCAGGCGAGGAGGGAGGCGGGCTCGCGGGCCTGGAGCTCGAAGATGGCGAAGCCGGAGGAGGTCGAGAGCGTGTCGTGGAGGATGCGGCGCGCGAGGGGGTCGGGGAAGTGGTGGAAGGCGAGGTTGAAGAGGCGGAAGATTTCCTTCTTCTTGTGCTTGTTTGTCGCTGACGAGGATGAAGAGGAGACGGTGGTGCCGCGGTGCTGCGCGAGCAGGGAGGGCGGGGCCGCCGAGGCGTCGATTGGGTTCGGTTCGTAGACGAGGTTGCGCGAGGCGGCGGCGGCGCGGGACCAGGAGGCCGGGTTCGGGTGCAGGTCTGTGAGGACAAAGGTGGCGGCGGGGAGCGAGGCGGCGGCGAGGCGGCGGTTGAGGATGCGCTCAATCGTCGGCGTGGGACCGCCGGAGCCGGCACAAAAGTCGATAAAGGTGTGGGAGGGGAGCGAGGCCTGGCCGATCTCGCGCTCGAGAATGTCGGCGGCGAGGCGCGCTGGCGAGGCCGGTTGCAGGCCTGGCGTGCGGTTGACCCAGGTGGCCAGGAGGGCGTCTTGGACGCGGGCGCGGAGGAACGAGGGGAACCAGGGCTGGTCGTCGATTTCGAACAAGTGGAAGCGCGGGATGAGGGGGGCCATGGCGGGCAGCTGTCACACCTGAGTGCTTCGTGTGCGGTGTGAAGTTGAGGCGAGGTTGAGGGCGGATGGTGTGAGTGAGCACATCAATTGGAGAGTGGCTGTCGCGTGAACTTTTCTCAATGGTATCTGAGTGCCGGCACTCGGTTCAATTGGCAAACGAGGAGAGGGAAGGATGTGGTGAGAAGGATTGTTGAGAGCCTCACTTGTTGGGTGTCATGCAAACGGGCGCTGTTGTCGTCGACATGGTAATGACGTTGACCTGCCATGGTGTTTTGTGGAGACACTTCTAGGGTGCTGTAACGCTGGGGCGGAGTCTCGGCTGCATGGCCTCCCGGCCACGGTTCGACATCAGTTTGTCTTCCTCTGTGGACAAGTCCTCTTCTTTGGCAGGATACCACTGCTGCCGTGAGATCATGGTGCTCTTGAGCAATCCACTGGTGCTTGGAGCTGTGGTGCTTTCCCTGTTGCTCTGGGCAGTGTTGGGGCGAGTGAGACTGAAGCGCCACGGGTCAGCTCTAAGGTACGGTAACTTGATAAGCTGCGACGAGTACTTGCATTCGATGAACAACACAGCTCACACCTTTCAGAAACGCCCCCAACACCTGGCCTGTTGTCGGAAATGGCTTAATCTTCATCCAAGCCCGCCAGAAACTTTTCCGATACTTCGTCACATGTGAGCGTCTTCATGGCTACGAGACACTCCAGATTGCTGTGCCTAGCCTCCCTCCTGGTGTCATCATCAGTGATCCTAAAAACCTTGAATATGTTTTCAAGCATGAAGGCATCTTTGCCAAGGGCTCTTTTGTAAAGGAAAGGTCTTGGGACCTCTTCGGTACGTGTCCTGGGCCTGCACAGTATTGTTCCCTTACATGTTGACAAACAGCTGACGCACATCGACAGGAAACGGCATCATCAATGCCGATGGCGATCTTTGGAAAGTGCAAAGAAAGGCTGGGCTCAGCTTTCTGAGCACAGCAAATCTCAAAATATTGACGCAGATCGCCTTGCCGCGGTATCTTGCGCAGAGTGTGGCACACCTCAAGTCGCAGTGCGGGGGGGCTGTCGTTGACTTGCAAGCTGTCTTGCATGAGATCACCACCCGATTGATGGGCGACATGGCATACAACGCAAGTCAAGAAACCATTCCATCGAATGTACCAAGGCTAACAGCTCATGCTTTTAGATGGAAATGCACGCCGATGACGAATTCAGCAAAGCCTTCGACCACGCCTCCGGCGCAACGGCCGAGAGGTTTCAAAACCCGTTGTGGTTCATTACGGAGATATTCCTCGGTGGCACCTTGAGAAAGAACCTCCAGATCGTCAAGTCTTCTGGCGCCAAAATGGTGGACAAGGCCGTTCGTGACAGAGAATCTGCAGCTACGTCATCCACAGGAGGTAGTGGAACCGGTATCGTCGACAAATCTCAGCATATCGAGGGCAGCCTGATCCAGTCGTTTCTTGACGCCATTGGCGACAAGAAAATGGTAGCAGACGCCGCGCTCAACTACCTTTCAGCTGGCCGCGACACGACTGCCCAAGCACTGACTTGGACCTTTTACCTGCTAATGAGACATCCGCATGTGCTAGCCAAAGTACGACAGGAAGTGGGGAGACCGTTTGATGGTGACCGGGATATAGCAGACTTGCCATATACCCACGCCGTGTTCAACGAGGCCCTCCGCCTGTACCCGCCGATTCCGTTTGAGATTAAGCAAGCTATCGAACACACGACGCTTCCCGATGGCACCTTTCTCCCAAAGGGGTCAGTCGTTGTATGGTGCCCGTGGGCAATGAATCGTTCCTATACGACGTGGGGTGCAGATGCAGACGACTTCCGGCCGGAGCGGTGGCTAGAGGACGGCAAGGTAGCGAACCGGAGCGCAGCTGAATTCCCCGTCTTCAACGGTGGGCCTAGGACATGCTTAGGAAAGAGGATGGCTGAGGTCACGGCCGTCCATGTTATCGCCGTAATGGGATCGACGTTTACCTTTGAGCCTACTGGCCATGAAGAAAGAGTCAGCAAGAGCAGTCTGACTCTGCCGATGAACGGCGGCCTACCCGTGAGGGTCATGGAGAATCAGCTGTAGACACCGAAAATCAAGAAACAAACAGCAAGCCTGACACTTTCATGGTCGATGTGCGGGGGATTCCACAGCGTTGCACGGGTTGTGACCGAGTTCGCGAGATGATTCTCTCCCTATTTCCATGAGATGATCACTGCCAGGTCCAGCACGGAAGCAGAAGGTGACCGTCGAAACAGAAATCGTAAGCCTGTCCAAAGCTGCCTTTCACCGGGCAGTGACCAAAACCAGACCTCTTCGTGTGCACTGACAGAAAAATATGACTTCACGCAGCACTCGAGAGAGTGAGTGAGAGCAAAAGATAAATCTAGCAACTGGACGTTTCGATCGTCCGACCTCCGGGTTATGAGCCCGGCGCGCTTCCGCTGCGCCAAGTTGCTTTTTCTGAGCGATGTTGAAAAGGTTCTCCAGATGTCAATATGATGCCATTGTCCTTGTGCGCAATATTTGTGGGGAGGGTGACTCACAGGACGGAATCACTGCCTTCGGCCCTCTTTTGGCTCCACCATCAGCTATGATGCGACATATGGGAGCTGTTATCTCGCGGTATTCTCCGTCGGATGATACATAATTCATCGAAGCAGATTTTGATCAGGTCAGGAATCCAGTTCTGAGTCTTTGACGATGGCATTGAGCAGCCATCTTGTTGGTGTTTAGATAGTGCCCCTGTGTACTCATCAGATTTTGTGCTTGCTCGATCAGAACTACTTGTCAGGCCTTCCTAATTCAGCGAAACCACCAATTGACAGAGGCATTGAGCCGGCCGTCGCGGTGTATGCTCTTAATACTGTGCCACCAGCCCAGGGGGATGAAGAGGGCGTCGCCTGGTTCGAGCTGAGCCTCAACAACGTCCTCAGCACCCCCCTCCCCCCACACGGCAGCATTCATCATGACGCTTTCAGGGCCTTCCATCATGCCAGAGTCACGAATTCGACTGTTGCCTGCTCGGCCGAGCTTAGTCTGTATCTGTCGGTAAAGTGCCTCGCCAGATTTCGGGGGCATGAGTCGAACTGTTTTGCTGCTGTGTAGCTGACAGAAGAGGTTGGGGTTAGGATCGCGGTGGAGTGGCGTGTAAGTTGGTTCCACGCCCATCCAGATACTTGAGTTGTAGATGTCGCCTTTGCCCGTCTCCTTGACAATCCTTGGCGCTGGTAAGTCTTCGCGTAATGGCGGGGGAAGTTCGACTAATTGTGATTGTGCAATGTAAAGCTTCTTGATGCTCGCGTCCTGGAGCTTGTTGTACTCAACGGCCTTCAGGAGAAGCAAGAATGGCGCCTCGATGGAGCAGAATTGAGCGTCAGAGTCGGTTGATGGAGGGAGAGCGGAGTGAACTATGCCCGCCAGCACGGCATCCATGGGATTGGAGCTCGCGGTAAGCCAATTGAGAAATTGTTTCACGCTGTCGACTATTACGCCGTCCTTTTCCGAGAGCTGTGGACTGATGAGCTCGTAAGGGAAAAGATGGTGGGCAAATTGTTCCATGTAGGGGCTGAAAGAAGCACCCGATGTGCCGTGCCCGGCTTCAAACCATTTGGAGGCTGCAGGGATAAAAGTTTGACTGAGGGGTCTGTCGTCTGCCTTGAAAAACAAAGGACGGGCTGGCCCGAAAGCTTCCTCTCGAAACTGGGCGATGTCGACTCGGTCGTAAGGGGCGGGAGCCAAATCGACTGCGCGCACCTGTAGTGTGGTCATTGCAGCGCGACGACACGCCCGAGGCATCGGATGCCTCACCAACTTCCGACGACATGTATTCGTAAGAGTTCTCATAATGAGGGCGAATATGTGATGACCCAAGGGCGATCTACTAGATGCTTCACTTCAAGTCGAACATCTTGACCAGTTGATTAGGTATTCAATGGCCATCATGTGACCCGCCTGCCTGGTGTTGTCGGGTTTGTTGCACGGACCATGTCCGCCCCTTGCGACGCACACAGACTTGACCAGGCAGGACCAGGCAGGCCCAGGCACAGGCACAGCGTAGCCCACTCTCGGCCAGCCTGAGATTGTCCTTCCACAGCCCGGGTTACCCACCAACTGCGCTTCACCAAAAGTTCGCATCTCAGCACAACCCAACGCCAGTCTACCCACCCACATCGAACCCCGCCATTTGCCGCCTTTCAGCAGTTGCGGAATCCCTCGCTCGGTTGATTCCATCAGTACCCGTCGACTGTCAGGCTATGCGAGTCACTGCTCCTATCCGATGAACATGCGCCGCGCCTGAGCACTGCCCACCTCTGCCGTTACCCCGCGATACCCTCACCCTTCCAGATCTATCCCGGGCTATAGCCCCAACCCGACCATTCGGTTTGGCCCGCATTTGACTTGCAGATCGCCGCGCACACATCACGCCGCGATCGCCTCGTCCGCACCACACCCTTAGGACAACCGCGCCTTTCCACGAAACTGGAGTACCTCGACGCAATGTCTACCTCTTCGGGGACTCCCGAGTCGTGGATATCGTCCTTCTGCTCTCTCTTGGGACACGAATATTTTGCCGAGGTCTCTGAAGAGTTCATCGAAGATGACTTCAACTTGACTGGCCTGCAGACCCAAGTTGCGATGTACAAGGAAGCTCTCGAGGTATTTCCTCCAGAACCCTCCCTCCCTTGACACTTCTGTGGCCTACCGGCCTACAATCGCGTGAGACACGCTGACCGACTGACTTTTCATCCCTCTACAGATGATCCTCGATGTGGAGCCGGAAGATGATGAAGACGAAGACGAAGAGGAGGAAGAGGAGGATGATAACGACTCGGCAGACCAGGAGCGTTTGGCCGCCCGGCACGAGCGCAGGCAACACAGCCGCATGGCGAGCGACTTGAGCGTGATCGAGTCTTCCTCCGAGATGCTCTATGGTCTGATTCACCAGCGTTTTATCTGCTCTCGCGCCGGCATACAGCAGATGAGCGAGAAGTACGAGCTCGGTCACTTTGGATACTGCCCTCGCACCAACTGCGGTCAGGCGAGAACGCTACCCGTTGGCCTGTCCGATATCCCTGGAGAGGACACGGTCAAGCTGTTCTGCCCATCATGCCTAGACGTCTACGTTCCTCCCAACAGCCGCTTCCAGACTGTCGATGGAGCTTTCTTCGGCCGCACCTTTGGTGCTCTTTTCCTCCTCACCTTCCCAGAATACGATCTGACCAAGCACACCGTCGAGATGCTCCCGCCTGCGACCGGCGGTGCTCGTGTTGCTGATGACGGCCTTCACACCATCAATGGCATGTACTCCAAAAATATCGGCCCGGGCCTTGGTGCCGGAAACATCTACGAACCCAAGATCTACGGTTTCCGCGTATCTGAGCTTGCACGTTCAGGTCCAAGGATGCAGTGGCTTCGTAGCCGTCCGGGCGACATGTCCGAGCTTGACGAGGCGAAGCACTACGCCGAAAAGCACCCGGATTCGGATGACGGCGATGAACGCATGGAGAAGACAGGCTCGGCGTCACGCAGACGCGACCCCGCGGCGGCCCGTCCCCAACGCCAGACACAAACTGGAAGTCCCATGAACGTGGAGGCCAATGGTGTGGAGTCTGAGCTTTGAAAGGGACCACAAACAGCCCCCCTTCAAACGAGGGCACCATCGGATACCCCGCATGAGGATGGCGTTTAGGAGGTCGAGTCTGTTATCGTGTGTCGTCTTGGGGTTGGAGGCTCAGGACGCTGCCGAGGCCAATGCATGGGAATCAAGAGATGAAACGGCGGGCGAAGGGACGAGGTTTATAACTACGGAATAACGGCTTTTGGGTTTAGGCGTCTCGTGAAACAATCAAGATGCTATGGCTCGTGTCTGCGCGTCCGAGCCGATGGGGATGGAATAGACATTTGGTTTCTGAGCGTCATGTTTAGCGGGCTGCAGAAGCATATGACGGCTGAAAAGTCACACGATCTCTCTATCGTTATTGATGACCGATCATGTCTGTTAGCGATGCAAATGGGAGTACGCCTGTCACGCGCGAAATGTAATTGTAAGCATGCTTATTAAAGAGATGTAAGGTGCTCACAAATCGCCTAGGCCGGCCCGAGAGCCACCGTCTTGGATACCTTACTTAACCCTCCTTAATCGGCCCAAGGCTCCCTACGAGCCCCCCTCCATTCGTTCATCTGATAACGATATTCTATTGAGACTGCCATTTTGCTGTGCAACTGACTCCGACTGTCGGCACCATATCGTCGGCACCAGATTATCTTGACAACCAAATAATGGCCGGGTCACTACAAAAGTACCCTTCGCCGCTCAGCGGCTTTGAGGACGCCGCGCCTCTCCCAACAGACTTGGGCGAAGATGGAAAAAGCTTTGTGAACCCTCCACGAGAGGGCCTCAGCGACAGCTACGAGAAATTCACTGCACCTTTGGATAATGGGAGGAGAGGTGGCTTGTAATTCTCACCCAGTCAATTCGCCAGATACTTGAACTCGACTGACTGGGGACAGCGATATTCACATTTACCATTTCCAGAACAACCCCGCGCAGGTGAAGTATGCAAAGGACCTGTGGGAGCGCATCAGGAGAGAGTGTTAGTTTGTTCCTCGGACTCGCTTCGCTTCGCATAAGGCTGCACTAACAAAAGTTCCTGTCTAGTCCCCGAGCTTCGAGTGTACCGCTTCTGGGACAAGCCTATTGGTCCTCACCCTGTTGCTATGTTCGAGGTCAACCTGTTCACGCCGGCTCAATTTGGCGCATTCATCCCGTGGCTTGCTATCTACAGAGGTCCCTTGTCAGCACTTGTGCATCCCAACACTGACGAGGAGGGGAACCAGGCAGCCGTTGAGCTGAGGAACCACACGGAGCGGGCCATTTGGCTCGGAGAGAGGATCCCCCTTGACTTGGCTGGCTTTCAACACTGAGTCGATGACAAATTCTTATCATCTATTTAATAATTTCAATGCCCGATGCGCCAGTTGTTCATTATTTGTTGTGCTTTGGCCGGTGTCGCGTCATACAGTATCGAGCCCCTCAAAGTTGCGATATGCAGCTCACCTAGCACGTCATTAAATCCGACATCACGCCGAAACAGGCGGGCAATTTGCAATCGTTCAGGAGTCGCGGTCTGAGTAAATGGGATATATAACTACCTGTCACTACTTGACATCTTCTCATTGATTCGTCACTTTCAGTTCATTGTCTTCTTCATTTCAACCCAAGATACACATTCTCCGTCCCAGAACACCCAACCCTTCACCACCAGCCTCACGAGACGCTTACATCACGCGAGATCCACCACCAAAATGGCTTCACTCCCCCTGTATGACGCGGTGGTCCCTTCTATTACCAAGGGATTAAAGACGTTTGATCACATTCTCACCAAGACGGAAGAATACGCCAATGAGAACAACCTCAATGTGGACGAGGTATTCGTCGAAGCCCGTCTGATCGAGGACCAGAAACCCCTAGTTTTCCAAGTCCAGAACATTTCCAAAATCGTTCGAACTGCCTTCGCACGTTTGACGGGCAAGGAGCTGGACCCTCCCGAAGACAACGAGAAGACTTTCGCCGAGCTGCACAAGCGCATCCAGAGCACATTGGAGCTGGTGCAGTCGGTGGACGCGTCGGTAGCCAATGGCCGTGCCACAGAGCCAGTTGAGCTGTAAGTCAATTGACGTCCCTGGGAAGTTCGAGTTCAAAGCTAAACGTTGACAGGGCTGCCGGTGGGCAGAAGAAGACGTTGACGGTGCAGGATGCTCTTCTGTACCACAGCTTGCCTAACTTCTTCTTCCACCTCGTTACGGCCTACTCTATTCTTCGCGCGAAGGGTGTGCCGCTGGGCAAGTTTGATTACCTCGGTAGCTTCCTCGGGGGTCTCTAGGGGTCGAGGGGGATCACAGCGAGGAATACTGATAAATACATACCATGTCATTCGGCTGTCTGGCCAATGCTGAGTCCGTCCTGCTCCGCTTTGAAGCAGCTGTTGTTCGCTGTCGATCTGCCTATTGAAAAAGGCATGTACCGTGACATGGAATTGCATCAGCAAGCACGAAATCGTTACCTCAAAGCCCCAGGTTGCAGGCCATAGCACACCCCACTTGTTCATCGACATGTGTGCGTCACGTGAGAACGCGTTTCTGGTTCGGCATCAGTAATGACGTCGTGCTGAATCAGCAATGCCCTCCACCTCGACATCCTCCCAGGCATCCACCAAGTCAACGTGAGATTGGAGTGAGTACCAACGCGTGTAAGACAGATCCCTCAGTCTCTACATCCAAGGCGTCGCGCAGTCATCGCCGCCGAAGGATGGCCGGCCGCAAGCGCAAGGCGCCCTCGAGGTCGAAGACGTCCCAAAGCGACCTCCCAGATGTATACCAAGATTTGCTGGCCGAGGCTGGCGCCGGCCCGTCTACGCAGCCTCATGCGGAGGAGTCACCAAGGAAGCGTAGACGGCCAGGCGAGAGGCCGGCGACACCAGCTGCGGCGCCAAAGCCTCCCGAGACGGAGCAGGTTTCGGAGGGCGACGACAGCGACGATGAGCTCGAGTTTGAAGATGTCCCCATCCCGGCGCCAAACCTCCAGACGATGTACCTGGACACTGACGAGGAGGACGAGGACGATGAGATGATCTTCGAAGATGTGCCCATCGTACCCATGCAGACCAGCCCCATCGTTGCCGCACCCCGAGCCGACCTCGAGCTGAACCTGACAGCGCATCGAGCAGTTGCGCCAAAGGCACCAATGAGACGGAAACCAATGACCAAGGCGGAGAGAGACCTCCGGATTCACGCCCACAAGTCACATTTGTTATGCTTATTGATTCACACGGCGCGGAGAAACCGGTGGTGCAACGACAGCGAGGTGCAGAACAGCCTGCGTCCGTTGCTGTCAAAAAAGGTCGCCTCGCTGCTGAAGCCGAGACCGAACCTATCTCAGTTTGGCCAAACTGAGTCCCTGAAGGATGGTCTCGAGCAGATCGGCCGCACCTTCAAGGCCAAGTACCAGGTGACCGAACGTGGTCTCCGTCGTTGCCTTTGGGCTGAAGCACCTGAGCATCTAGAAAAGGTGACGACAGCTTTCCCATCGTACATCTCAACATTATGTTCAGAGCCGTTCCTGACCGATTCATAGTATGAACCCCCAGACGACATGGACTCGTGTATCGGGAGAGATGATTTTCAGACTGCGGCCCGAACGCTCGAAGGATCACGCGACACGGGTGCACAGCTGCTATGTGCGTTGCTACGGTCAGCAGGTGTGCAAGCTCGTCTAGTGGCCTCCTTTCAACCGCTGAGCTTCACAGCCGGCGGTCCAACCTTGCCGAAGCCCCAGACAGTCAAAATGACGACTTCGAAAGCCAAGGCCGAGGAAATGCAGCGCCTCGCCAAAGCCAAACAAGAAGTGGCGCCTTCACCGGCCATACCCTCGGCCAGGAGGCGGCTCGGCCATCCCAACGCGACGGCATACCGCGTGCCGACCATGACGGCAGCGCCTAGCACGTCGCGGCCCGTCAAGATTCACAAACCGCTCCGTGAGTCTCCGTATCCGGTGTACTGGGTCGAGGTTCTCGACGTGGCGCATCAAAGGTGGCAACCTGTCGATCCCCTTGTGACAGATACACTGTGGAAGCCCGCGAAACTCGAGCCACCAGCATCGGACCGAGATAATAACTTGACCTATGTGCTGGCGTTTGAGTCTGACGGCACAGCCAAAGACGTCACGAGGCGCTATGCGAAGGGATACGCGGCAAAGACACGCAAACTGCGGATAGAGACTGCCGAAGCAGACGGCGCGCAGTGGTGGGCCAAGGCGCTCAAGGTGTTTGCGCGACGGCGACCGACGGATGTCGATCACATCGAAGCCAGCGAGCTCGAGGCGACGGCGTCACGAGAACCCATGCCGCGCAACGTGGCCGATTTCAAAGACCACCCCATCTACGCGCTGGAACGACACCTGCGGCGCCACGAGGTGCTCAAAGCCGACGCGCAGCCGGCGGGGACAGTGAGCGCCGGCAGCAGGGCGCCGCTGGAGACGATCTACCGGCGACGGGACGTGCGGATCGCCCGCAGCCGCGACAAGTGGTATCGCATGGGGCGAGACGTCAAAGCGATGGAGATGCCCGTCAAGTTTCTGACAAGGCGGATCAACACCAAGCCCGGGGAGTACGTGGATGACGGTTACGGGGGCGACGTGCGCGACGCCGAGGGGACGCCGGTGTTCACGGAGGAGCAGACGGAGGAGTACAGGCCGCCGCCGGTGGTGCGGGGGCGGGTGCCGAAGAACAAGTTTGGCAACATCGACCTCTACGTGCCCAGCATGGTGCCCAAGGGGGGCGTCTGGATCGCCGACGACAGCGAGGACGAGCCTTCGTCTGCGCGGGCGGCGTTCATCCTGGGCATCGACTACGCGCCGGCACTCACTGGGTTCTTGTTCAAGGGGCGACAGGGCACAGCGGTGCTCAATGGCGTCGTGGTGGCCGAGGAATACGAAGAGGCCATGCGGGCGGTCAAAGCCGGGCTCAGCGATGTCGAAGCACAGCAGCAGCAGGACCGCAGAGCCACGGCAGCGCTGCGAATGTGGAAGCGGTTCCTCATGGTCCTACGTATCCACGAACGGGTGTATGCCGGTGTCAGCGCCGAGGAGAGGGCGGCAGACGAGGCAGGGCGAGGGTTGGTGGCTGATGGGGATGAAGAGGGCCACGGTTCGGATGCTGCGACGGAGGCTGAGCGCGAGGATGAAGTGTTAGATGAGGAGGATCTCGAGCCGCTTGATGAGGTGGATGCAGACGAAGAGGCAGCCAGTGAAACGACCGAGGAGATCACCATGGCGGACGAGGACTTTGGTGGTGGTGGCTTCATGACCGAGGGTGATGACCTGGGCGGTGGCTTCATGGTTGACTGAGGCGCAGTCCGTGTATCGTAGCAAGAAGAACTGCGTTGCAAACACGACCATGAATCAGATCTATGCAAGTCGCGACTGGGGATCGATCATGGCTATGAGTGCACTGCTGATAGCATCGAAGTACCGAGGACGCATCGTTCGACACGACACGTAAGTGTGAGATTCGAGCAAGCGGTTGCACGTATATGTACAGGATCCCCACCTTTCGGCGCCTCGGCCCTGCCTACACCTCACTGTACCTACCTGGAAGTTGAAGGCAGGCGCAAACGAGATGGTGTCCCGCAAGTCATGACGTAATCGACAGTCAAGGGGGATTTTAGCATCTAGGCATGAAGAAAAGGGCGCCATCCAGACGAATGGGAGTCTAAGGTCGGCCTTCTTGGCAGTCCGCATGGTGTCTTGGACGCGATTTCGCCTGATCGATACGAAATACGTCCCAAGACGAAATACGTCCAGAGACGGAATGCATCCAAAGAGGGAGGTGTCGTGGCCTCAAATTCGTTCGCTCGGAAAGAGGCAAGATATTGAATCCAGTCAGGGCCTGAAACGGCTGCCTTGCGCCCGCTCATGTCATGTCATGTCGGTACCGTCAAGTCGTAAACATCTGCGCAACGCGACGGGTAGATGCGCGTATTCGTCGTAAAGAAATGACCCAGGCTGACAAGTGAGTGTCTCGGGGGTGGCATGCTGCGCCGCGCCCCTGAGCCAGAGGATTGAACTAGGTTGCTGAAAGTACGCGTATCGGGGACGACTATGTGCGCTACGCCGACTCTGTGCGCTGTGCCGTCAACGTACGTTCTACTTGAGTGAGTGGCCGACTTGCGCAGCTCAGGCAACTAGAAAGATCCTTGGGGGAATGGGGGCAGCTACTGGCTGTAACCTAATTACAAGGGAGTCTGATCAGGCTAGCACAGCGGGAACCATCTCCACTATCCGTTCACGGCACGTTTGGACCTGGCCGCTCCTACTAGCAAGCTGGGTACCTAGCACTACCTAGGTAGGTAGCTTGGGGAGGTACATGACCGTACCTAGGTAGGTACCTTACAATGGTCGTCGCGAGCTTAGAGGCAGTGCAGTGCAGTGGGAACGGCCTCAGTTGCCTGCCAAAGTGGGGCGAGCCAACGCTCTGAGGAGGTACCTGAGTTGCACATCCATGCCCAGAGCCTTGGGGCAGACGGTGGTGATTCAATCTGCCAAGACCTGGGAGGTACACGGCCACACGGTTCAATGTCTGCCCGCCCAAGGCAGTCAACACAAAAACAGAAAAAGACATTCCTCCTCCCATCATGGCCGCCAGTCGTACCAAACATTCGGTTGAACGAGTCTTGACTTGAATTTCTATATAGCGTACATCTACACCTAATTTCCTCCTGGCTTTTGAACTTGCCGTCACTCCTTTTGCTCCTTCCGTACGCCTTCGCAGCTGTCGTCACCACTGTCGATGCCTATTCCATCGCAGGCGGACACATAGGTAGTGTACTCTCTCCCTCTACCAGAGAGAGGTACCTCCACCCCTTCGCCAACCACACCTGAACGAACCTTCAGCCATCGCACCTCGAGAACGCTGCTCACAGCGCCCAGCCGCCGCCATGGCCTTTATGCGGCAGACTGGCACGCTCATACGCAAGAACTTCACCATATTGCTGCGCCATCCCTTCACCTTCGTCTCTATCCCCTTCGTCCTGCCCATCTTCCTGGCCGTTTGGTTTGGCGTTGCCCAGAACCTCTTCCGGCCCCCCGTCACCTACGGCACCGGTGATCCCAATGCCATCCGTTCCCTGGCTGAAGCTCTTGAAGGCGCCGGAAACCGGAACCGTGTCGTGTTCGTCAATGGCGGCTACGAGAATGGGCCCATTGATAGCGTGATCGATTCCCTGACGACCAGCGCCCAAGCGGCTGACGGCATCGAAGTCTTGCGCCGTTCCGATGACAGCTCTCTCAACATTGACTGCGAGCCTGGACAGAGGGCCGTCACCGACTGCTTTGGCGCAGTCTCATTTTACTCGTCGCCCTCCGAAGGTGGAAGCTCTGGGGACGGAAGCTTGTGGAACTACACCATTTTCCTCGATGGTGCCATCCATGGCCTCAACATTCACGTCGACCGCAACAACAACGACGTCGACAAGTTCCTGCTGCCTCTCCAGAGAGCTGTTGATGCCGCCATTGCCAATGTGACGGCCTCCAATGCTTCCGACTCGAGCGGCCCTCAGCCGGCCGAGCTGCCTGCGACCATCGACCGCCTCCCCTTCACCAGCTTGACCGAGGACGAGTACGAGAAGCAGGTGCGCGAAGACTATCAATCCAGCATCATCAACTTCCTCGCCGTCGCCTACCTCACCACTGTCATGTTTGTCATCTATCACATGACGGGCTTCATCGCCACCGAGCGCGAGTCCGGCATGACCCAGCTCATCGACGCCATGATGCCCATCCGCCGCCGCTGGGTCGCCCAGCTCGCCCGCGTCATCTCGTACCACGTCGCCTTTTCTCTACTGTACCTGCCCGGCTGGGTCATCGGCTCCATCGTTCTGCGCGCCAACATCTGGTCCAACACCAGCATCGGTGTCGTCCTCGTGTATTATGTTCTCGCAGGCCTAGCTATGGCCTCCGCCGCCATCCTCGTCTCCTCCTTCTTCCAGAAAGCCCAGCTGAGTGGCGTCACGGCCCTGCTAGCCACCGTCCTCCTCGGTATCCTGGCACAGGCACTGACCGACCCAGGCACCGGCGTCGTCGCCGTTCTGTCGCTCCTCTTCACCCCCTGCAACGTCGTCTTCTTCCTCATCACCATGGCTCGCTGGGAGAGAGAGCGCATGGCCACGAAGCTGACCGAGGTGGCCCCCAACAGTTCCTTTGAGCTGCCAGCCATTGTCTTTTGGATTTTCCTCATCATTCAGATTGTCGTCTACCCTCTGCTCGGAATCCTCATTGAGGGTCGTCTGTTCGGTACGAGCGCCAAGGGCCGCACTGTTCTCTATGATCAGCCCACCGACGGCGCGCACAATGGCCCGGCCGTGCGCCTCGATGGCTTCAGCAAGCACTATCCACCATCTGCCTTCCAGCGCCTCATGTCCGTCTTTGGAAAGCCGCGCGAGACTGTCAAGGCCGTCGACGGGTTGACTCTGGATGCTCCGCGAGGCATGATCCTCTGCCTTCTGGGCAGCAACGGAAGTGGCAAGTCGACGACGCTCGACTCGATCGCCGGCACCAATAGGCTCACCAGCGGATCCATCACGATTGACGGCACCGGAGGCTTGGGCATTGCGCCCCAGAAGAACGTGCTGTGGGACGAGCTGACCGTCGAGGAGCACCTCAAGATCTTCAACCGTCTCAAGGCCCCCGGCCAGACGGCTTCCAAGCAGGAGATACGCGACCTCGTGCAGGCCATTGACCTCAGTCCCAAGAGGAAAGCATTCTCCAAGACACTCTCGGGCGGCCAGAAGCGCAAGCTGCAGCTCGGCATGATGCTGACAGGAGGAAGCGCCGTCTGTTGCGTCGACGAGGTCAGCAGTGGGCTCGATCCCCTCAGTCGTCGCAAAATCTGGGACATTCTCTTGGCTGAGCGTGGCCGACGCACCATCATCCTTACGACCCACTTCCTTGACGAGGCTGATCTCCTTGCTGACCACATTGCTGTTCTTTCCAAGGGAACCCTGCGTGCCAGCGGTTCGTCTGTTGAACTGAAGAACACGCTCGGTGCCGGCTACCGCGTTCACGTTCCCAAGGATACAGGTATCACGGATGCGCCTGAGATCGAGGGTGTCCAGAAGAAGGATTCCTTTGATTTCATCACCTACGTCGCTCCCTCGTCGGCTTTGGCTGCGCAGGTCATTCGCACGTTGGAAGCCCGCGACATCAAAGGATACAATTTCTCCGGTCCCACCATCGAGGATGTCTTCCTGCAGCTTGCAGAAGAGACGCGAGACCAGGCCGAAGCCGTCGCCGGAGACGATCCTGCAAACCATAGCGAAAAGACGTTATCCGGTGCTGTTACGCCTCCGTCCCGCGGACACCAAAAGCCAGGCCTCTCATTGATGAGTGGCAGGCGGATCGGCTACGTCCGCCAGTCCATGGTACTCTTCCGAAAGCGCTGTACCATTTTCAAGACGAATTGGCTCCCGTACGTGGCCGCCTTTATCATCCCTATCATTGCTGCTGGGCTGGTGACCATCTTCATTCGCGACGCGGACCCCAGCTCCTGCGCTCCTCCCGATGACAACTTCAGTGCAGGGGCCGAGGGCCTGGACTTGAGCGACGCTGGTTTCGGTTTCGTCATTGGACCTGGCGACAAGTGGAATGAAGGCGTAGCTGCCCAGGTGCTTGGGCCGGCCTTCCTCGGAGCTGCTGGAGGCAGTGGTAACAACGGTGGAGGGAGCGATCAGGCTTTGGATGTCTTGCGACAAATCCTCGAGCGCAACACGACCGTCGTGGATTCCTTCCAGGAGTTCACCGACGCCATTGATGAACGTCGCGCCGATATCAAGCCTGCGGGCTTGTGGCTTGGAGACGACAGCAACGCCCCAACGCTCGCCTACCTCGGCAACAGGGGCGGCCTGATCAACTCGCTTCTTGGTCAGAACATCCTAGACATGCTGCTCAGCAATGTCACCGTGTCCACTCGCTACGCCCCTCTCGAGATCTCGTGGGCCGACCAGAACACCCAATCGCTGCAGCTCTTTGTCTACATTGCCCTCGCGCTATGCCTCTATCCCGCCTTCTTCGCCTTGTACCCAAGCCTGGAGAGGCACAGACATGTCCGCGGCCTGGAATACTCCAACGGTGTGCGACCCCTGCCCCTGTGGATGGCGTACATCGCCTTTGACTTCTCCATTGTCCTCGTTGCGTCAGCCATCATGGTTGCCGCCTGGGCTGCGGTGTCTGACATTTGGTACCATATTGGCTTCATCTACCTGATCTTTATCTTGTACGGGTTGGCTTCGATTCTGCTGGCATACGTCATCTCGCTTGTGAGCAAGACCCAGCTGGCTGCTTTCGCGACAACGGCGATGCTCCAGGCCGGCATATTCCTGGTGTATATCATCGCCTATTTCTTCAGCTTCACGGCTGCTCCTATCGAGCGCGTCGACGATACTCTTCGGCTCGTGCATTTCATCGTCTCGATATTTGCGCCCATCGGCTCGGTAGCGCGGTCGCTTCTCCTTGCTCTCAACCTCTTTTCGACTGCCTGCGACGGTGATGTCGTTGCCTCGAATCCGGGTGGCATGCTCCAATATGGCGGGCCCATCTTGTATCTCATCCTGCAATCGATCGTCCTGTTCGGCGTGCTGCTCTGGGGCGACAGCGGGTCACCGGGCTCGAGCATCGCAGGCCTGTTCCGGAAGAAGGCCAAGGAGCAGAACGCCGCCGAGGCCACAGACGAGGAAGTGGCAAAGGAACTGACCCGTGTCACGAGCACGCAGAACGGCGACGACGGACTCAAGGTCACGCACGTTACCAAGTCGTTTGGCAAGAACACGGCTGTGGACAATGTGACGTTCGGCATCAAGCGCGGCGAGGTGTTTGCCTGCCTGGGCCCGAACGGCGCAGGTAAAAGTACCCTGATCTCGTTGATTCGCGGCGATCTCAAGCCCAGCCATAACGGCGGCGACATCTTCATCGAGGACAAGTCGGTCATTTCCAACCTTGCGGCCGCCCGAGGCAGCATCGGCGTCTGCCCTCAACACGATGCGCTGGACCAGATGACTATCAGGGAGCACCTCGAGTTCTACGCCCGCATCCGTGGCATCCCCGAGATTGACGTCAATGTCAACGCCGTCATCGATGCAGTCGGTTTGCGCGCCTTTTCAGATCGCCAGGCGCACGCGCTCTCCGGGGGCAACAAGCGCAAGCTGAGTCTGGGCATCGCCCTCATGGGCAATCCTACCGTGGTGCTGCTCGATGAACCATCGTCCGGCCTTGATGCGGCAGCCAAGCGCATCATGTGGAAGACGCTGGCCGCCACCGTTCCTGGTCGGTCCATCCTCCTGACGACCCACAGCATGGAGGAGGCCGGCGCTCTGGCCGGCCGCGCCGGAATCTTGGCGAAGCGAATGCTGGCACTGGGCACGCCGGAAAACCTACGCCGCCGCTTCGGCGACGCGCTGCACGTGCATCTCATCAGCAAGAGCGCGCCTCACACGTCACCCGAGGAGACGGAACGGGTCCGGCAGTGGGTGGAGTCGCGCTTCCCTGGTGCCGAATTTGACAAGACGTATCACGGGCAGATGCGATTCGCCGTGCCGGCAAGCGAGGCTGTCGCTATGTTCGGAGAGCGGCATAGGGACCAGCAGCAGATCTCGCGTTCGAGCGAGGATGTCGAAGACAGCGCCGTGGGGCAGCTGGTGGTCATGCTCGAGGAGATGAAGGAGGAGCTGGGCATCATGCACTTCAGCGTCACGCCCACGACGTTGGACCAGGTCTTCCTGACGATTGTGGGAAACCATAACATCCAGGAGGAGGGATACAAGCAGGAGGAGAAGAAGAAGGACTGGAAGTACTGGCTGCGGGTGCTGTGCTGCTGGCCGAGGCGGTAGACAAGCGCTCGCCTAGCCGTGGGAATGATCCTGTATTCCTGTTCATATCTGGTGGGGGATTTTGTTTGCTTTTTTCTTGCCTGTTTTTGTATATGGGATATGGGAGTCGAAGATACCACGAAGGAGATACCTTGAGACTGTTGCATATAGACTCTTCTATGCCTTGTACTATTCATATCCGGATCATCATCAACATACTGCTGGTGTGGTAATGGTTTGTGGTGGAGCTGCTCGGACAACCTTACTTTGAGATCCAGATGCCTCCGTATCGAGTACGACGGACAAGGCTTGATGCTGAGGTAACGTTGTGGGGAACGCAGATCCATGCTTGGCCACACACGCAGAGAAGCAGGAAGGCTGGGACGACGTGTTGTGGGGATGAAGGCGACGTGGGCGTCAGGCACTACGTAACGCACCCAGAACGGCC